GGGTTTAATATTTTTCCTAGAACTTTTTTTTTTTTTTTTTTTTTTTTTAATGAGGGGAAAAAAAAAAAAAAAAAAAAAAAAAAAAAAAAAAAAAAAAAAAGCAGAAGGGTGGAGCACGAGAGCTGGAGTGAGTGAGCAAACCCAGCAGCACTGACTCAACACATGCACGACCTGGTTGTTATTAGAGCAGAGGCTGCTTCGCGTTCTCACTCATTTCATGCCTCCTGCAGGGGCTGGCCTGGGCTGTGACACAAGGGGTATTTCTTTTGTTTCAGTACCTAGCTGAATGCGCTTGGGCAGTATTATTTTTTTTTCTCCCAAGTATTAGGTTACTATTTGTTTGGAAACAGGGGGGAGAAATCCTGCATGCGTTCAGTCTGGGAAGGTTTTTGCACTGTTCCTGAAAAGCAGTGAGATTTCAGCACCATAATTTGCCCCTGCAGCCCCCTTACCTCAAATAGCACACACCAGAACGTCAGCACTGCTGTTGCTTAATTTGTTCCCTATGATTTACATGCTTTTTTTTTTTTTTATTACAGTAAATCCCAGAGAACGTAAGAAAGCACTGGGAGAGGAGTGTGTCTTCCTCCATCTTTCCCTACAAGGAGCACCTGAGGATGTCGTGGTGGTGAAGATGCTATTGGCAACGTGGGGACTATGACACATAGGGAGCTCCATCCTTTCGGTGTGCTTCATACTGATCCTGTATCTATGAACGTTGCTTGCATTTTGTCAAGCTAAGTCTCTATTAATTCTCTCATATATGCAGCTGGATTCTTTCCCGTTAGCTCCCCAACAGTAGTTGCAGTCCTTCACATTTAGTAGCAACAGCAAGTTTCATTCAAACACTGATTTATTGGAATAATTAGCAGACATAATAAATCAGACCAAACAGAGATGTCTGTGGCAACCCGTTACACAGCTCCACTCCTGTATCAAAACTTGGCTCTTTATAATCCCATCAGTTGTTTGACCCCACAAGCAAAAACCTATACCCAAGCTGAGAGGCGCTGAGGGCAATGGAGGGCCTGCCCTCACCATGCTCCTCTGGGCAGATCCAATTTGGTACAAAGAGAAAGTTCATATTCCTGGGTGGATCTTGCTGTATGTGGAATAACCCTTTCTCTTCCCACAGGGTGAGCGCCCCTCATTCTGACGAAGAGAAGCCAAAAGCCAAGCAGACAGACCTGCAGTTCCAGTGGGAACCGTACCCAAAAGAAGCCCATGGACCTGACACTCTGCGATATGTGAACAGACCCCACTGTGCTCCTTGCCCAAAATCATTTCAGACCACAGATGGTGCCACAAGCAGTCACTTGGCAAACTTGTGAAGTGATTGAGGATCTGTTCCAGCTAATTTTGGAGTCTTGTTAAGACACAAGTGTGTTCTAACCAACTAGGAGGAGCAAAACCCATTTCTCCTGGTACTCTGGTACTCAGCTTTTCTCAACTCCTCTCCCTATAACATAGTGCTGATATTGAGCATTTCTTCCCATGTCTTTCAAATTCTCTTCTCAACTCGCTATCCCGTGCTGTCATTCCTGCATCACTCTCCTTTTTCTTCCCATTCTGCACACTTTGCTCCTCAAGCCATTAAAACCACGCGCTGTCATTCTCCCCAGGTGTGCCCAGGGCCATCAGGGGGCAAAGCTCACCCAATGAGCCCTAAAGGTAAGAAAAGGCTGATCTTGACCCAGGAGCCTTGCTGGAGTCTCTTTGCATTTCATCTCTGTGCCAGATCATTGGGGCTAATTTCAGGCTTGATGGGGCAATAAACTGCAATCACAGCGACTGGGTAATGTGGCTATGGTGGGCCTACACCCATCCCCACAGCACAGAGGGCAAAGTCCAGCTCGGGCTGGTGGGGTTACGAGGAGAGTGACCGTGGGGTGAAGGTGCAAACAGGAATGTCCTTGGAAAGGACACTGCTGTCCACCTGGATGCTGTAACGCAGTTTCCCAGCCTTGGCAGGACCTGAAGCTGGTTGAGCTTTTCCCAGAAGACCCTCAATGTCATTGCACTTGCTTTTACTTATTTATTTATAAATTTAAACTGCTGACAACATTTAATTTATTACTGAAATCCTTCTCTCATCCTAACTCTCCTGAGAGGCTGCATCAAATAACTCTCCCTCCCTGCTTTAGCAAAGTATTATGTGCTGCGATGTTTGCCTGGGGAATTAAAAGCTTAGGGTGCCCTGTTTGGGGTAACAGTCAAGTGTCTGCTCACTGTTAAGCAACTCCCCTTTACAATGACCTCTGTGATGGGCTGTATAACAAAGCAAGGTATGTATTATATTGTATTATATTATATTTTAATTATATTACATTACATTATATTATATATTATTGGATGCTTAATATACAGATTATATGGCATTCTACTTAACTGCCTGGTTTCAGTAGGGAGGACAGAAGAGAGACTTTTAAAGTAATAAAACAATCGAGGTGTTTTAAATGGAATTAGTATAAAATCTTACATTCTGACACAAGGGCTGTTTCTCCCATCCTGCTGAGCTCTGGGTCACTGGGAAAGGGAACACTGCATACCCTGAGCCTTGGCTGGCTCCAACCTTTAATTTCCAAAGGGAATTTAATAGAAGTAGGCTGCCCTGATACAAGGCTGGTAAATAATATTCATGGCCTATAAACATATTCATAATGGCAGAACTCCCTCATGCTTTATATTCATCGCCTTCCTTCAGTAATTATAGACATCAAATAGCTGTGGCTACATATTTTTCCTGATTTGTTTCCACAGCATCCATCACGTGCAGTTTTGGTGGTGTCCACCCCCTGGACCGAAGGATGAGCCCACAACTATGGCAGCACCTTTTGCCCATGGGACCACAGAAGGGAGTAGCTGTGCTGGACTTTGCTTGGCTTTTTCTTGGCGAGGAAGTGACCACATCTCAATTCTGGTGTTTCCACTATCTGAGGCATCTTTCTGAGGGCTGGTGAGTATCAAAAATTATCTATCTCCTCCGCTTATCTTTACCCTGTCAATATTAGGTTTTTCACACAAGCCAACTCTGAGGGTGCTAATGCAGAGTGAGGAGACCACGTTGGTCTGTAGGGCCTTCCACTCCTGAGGGTTTCAGCATAAATCTCTTACATGTAAGTGGTCGTAATTCAGTTAAATTCCATTACAAGGGGAACAATCGGCTTTTCTACATGAATGGCTTTATCTTGTGAGGGTTTGAAGCAAAAAAACCCACATTTTAAGTAGCTGCTTTGATGAAAAACCTGCCCATACATCTGGCTGTTACTATCAAGACAGCTGTGGTGGGACACATCGGGGCGGGATCCTCACTCAAGCGTGGTCACAGCCCCGTGGGGACACCTGTAGCTGCTTCTGCCACCCCAGCACAAGGCTCCGGGGTGCATATGAGGAAGGAGAAGTTGTCTTCCATTTCACAAGCAATAACTAACGTGCTGTAGCTGCCTCCATCTCGTGGGCCACCTCTCCTGGAGATGCCAGCAGTGTTGTCAAACTATGAAAACGTTGAGGAGAAAGTTCTGAACTGTAAAGCAAAGTGTCATGCTGGTTTTTCTGAACATGCCAGTAGGTGGGTCTGCAAGGGCTGGGGAGTGGCTGGGGAGGCTCTGAGCCACCGTAGCAGTGACTTTGCTGGCATCTGGAGAGGAGGAGAGGTGGAGAGCGCTGAAGAGAAGGACAAAGATGGCAAGGAGAGCAAGATGGTGCATATGCATGACCACTGCTTGTCCTGGTAGCTGAAGAAGGGGCTGGAGGAGAAGCCAGCAGCCTGGTTAACAGCCTGGGAACCTTCTGTATCCCATTGCCCACCTTGCCCAGGGCTGCTGTGGCCAGTAAACTTTTTACCAAATATTTTGGGTCGCTCAGGCTTTTGCAGCAGCAATTTGACCACCTTTGCCCCATCCCCACTAGCTGCTTCATGAGAGAAATGCTCTCCTACCTGGGCTCACATACTTTTCCTGTTGCCCACCTGGTATGTCCACAATCCCCATGGCCATGGATGACTCTGGTTTTTCCTTCTGAAGGGTCTGGTTCAAGACAAGCCGATCAGCAGTTAGCAGTGGTCTCCTCTGTGATCTGGGGTGTGCAGGTAACTGATTCTGGAAGCAAAATAAACCAAAACTCACTCTGCCACACTCAGACACATATTTCTCATGCAGCACTTGGACATGCCAATAAGGCAGCACCAAGAGGTCAACTTGTATGGGTGGGCAGGGAGGGAAGTCCCCTGTCCCTGGCAGGGAAGGGAGCTCCTGCAAGGGGTCGGGAGACACCAGCCCTTTCCATGCTGAGTGTTTGGAGCTGTGTTGCATCTGCAAGAGGCAGCTGATGTTTGCAGTCCTTTCTTCTGTACCTGATTTTCTCCCCCTCAACTCCCACAGGCAATGCCCAAAGTGCCCTTTAACAGAGTGGAGATAAGACAGCGCCAGCAGGGTCACCTGGCAGTGGTTTCAAACAAGAAATTCAGCTCAGCAGGAACAGGATCAGAAGCCATCTCTCCTCCCCTGGGACAGAGCCAGCGACTCCAGTCAGGGCAGCCTCCTGGCGAGCAGCAAACGGTGGGTTGGTTTGGTTCTTTTCCCCTTCCTGAAAGTTCAGACCACCAAGTTATCACACACCACCGCCACTTCCTGCAATGCTGGGCAGAGTGGGTCCACCCCACCGCAGGGCACAGGGCACCAGCTCCCTCCCAAAATCTTCAGGAAGGTAGGGATTGCCTCTTGGCAGCCTCCCAGGGAGCTCAGACACCCAGCACTACAAGTGCCTGAGATTTTACTGCTGCGGTTTAACTTCACAAGAAGCGCACAGATTCCCTCCCTCTCTCAGCCTCTGGCCATTGCCCCCACTGCCTCAGAAATACCCCAGTGCTTCCCAGGTCACTGTGCAGCCACAGCACCTTTGGAGACCCAGGACGTTAATCTTTCTCTCTTCATTTCAATGTTCTATCTATAAACTGGGTATATTCTGTTTTATTGGCTTTTTGTGCAGGTAAGTGCTCCCGTGATTAACCAGTTAATAATTGCCATAATATAATAGTGTTATTTCTGAAGGGAAGCACAACACTATACCATGTAACAGGGCATCAGCATTGCTGACTGGAGCCTGAGACAGAGTCATGCTGTCAAAAGCCTATTTTGGATATTTTCCAAATGGGAAAATCTGGAAAAATTTGGGGCTATTACAGAGGTGTAGCCAGACAAAATGGACATCCATAGCAGAGCCTGCAAACAAAGCAGATGGTCTATGGGGAAATACTCAGTTGCTAAAGACTGGTTTATAATTCTCTTAAATTTCACCACATTTTCATCATTATCAGTAGCTGCTCAGTAATTATAGAGCAATGTATTTTCCTGTGCAGGGACAGAAAGGCCTCATTTGACAATGAAGACGTTATGTTGGTCTAGTCCAAAAGCGAACATAAGACATCCCGTTAAAATTAATTAGCTGTTCATCTGCAAAAATTCTGTACAGTTGCTAAACCAATATATAAAATAGCCCGTGACCTGGGCTACATGTAATTCCACCCACCTAGGTATGACCTGCCTGTGCAAAGAGGATTTGCAAGTCAACAGTCTCTATCATTATCAGGCACATAAATGCCTGGGTATTCAAACCTGTGTACCATATGCAAGGAATATTGTTGCGAGATATTTTTAGAGGAAAATACTCCTGGCTAATCAACAGGTGCACTCACAAAAGGAGAGCTCTGTATGTGTATGAATACAGGGGGAAAAAGGTAAATTCACTCAGCCCTCTGAAATGTCTCTGGGGAGCTCACATTTGGGACAGCAGAGAGCTACTGACAAAACACTTGCCGTATTTCTGCGACTGGGATATGCAGCAACAGAAAGAACATCTCAAAGGGACGTATTCTTTAATTTTCCTACATGGAAAATATCTTGGCATTATAATTCATATGTTCTCCATACTGTGATCTAATTTATATTACTGGACAACTTATATATTTATATATACGCATATATATTAGCTCTGAAAAAAAGATCTTTGTACATGCGCCTAAATAACCATTTATGCTCAGTTATGCTTATAATGAACGTACCAAGCCCCATCCTCAGCAGGGTTAAGTTGTCCTTATTCCACAACAGCCATGGAACAAGGCTACTTGCACTTGCCTGGCTTTGAGCCTGCTCCTCCATAAAGCTCCTCCAAAACAAAGCTGTTGTTTCAGTGGAAAGGCTCTCATTGACTTCAGCGGGAATTTGGATCAGCCCTTATTCAGGCAATCAGCCTGGAAACATGCAAAGCGGGACCAATTACATGAGTTCTGTCATTCCCATTACTCAGATTTTTTTTTTTTTTTGGAGGTAGGTGGGAGGGAAACCTTTAATCTCAGTGAAGAGTAGGAAACAGAGAGTTAAGAGAGCTACAGTGACAGTAAAGGAAAAGAAAAAAACCCAACTGCACCTTCGGAAAACACATATTCATTACAATGCACTAACACATCACAGAAATAATAGATGTTTGTGATGACAACATATTCCCTCTGCCCCATTGCTGAATCAGGAGTGCCATTGGGGGAAAGAAAGGAGAGAAGCTCTGGATTCAAAACGCTCCCCCAGACTTACCTTTATTGGGGTTTTTTGGCTGCATGGAGGGGAGTCTGGAAGTTGTGGGAAGATTCAGAAGCAAGAAGATGGTCCTGCAGGGCTCTTCATTGATTCTTGGCAATAAATAGCCCCACCACAAATATTACCAGTGTCAGGCACGTCCATGGAGCTGGGTGTTTACAGACTGAAAGGTTTTCCCCCGTGTAGAAGCCAAAGGCAGTAGAATAAGGGTTACTGTGGCAACCCAGACTCTGGAGCTCTTGCCTTTCCTCCCTGCTACGTGCTCGCCAGGGACACTGGTGTGACTTCTAAGTGGCACTGCAGGGACTCATGGATACACATAGACCCTTTTCACATCTGTTGTCCACCTCCCCACGCACCCACAGCTGGCACGTACAGCAGAGAGTCCTGTGCACCACGTATAGGTATATGGAAAGGGAGATGAAGAATCCACACCTGGAGCAGGAGGAGAGCAAATGGAGCAGGAAGAAGTGGCCCGTGGTTTTGCAGGCTGGCACCCTGGGCACTGCTGTACCCAAGGAGGGATGGAGGAGGAACACAGCCCTCCAGGGGTTTGGGGGGGACTAGGGGCTGAGAAGCAGGTTTTAGATACGAACAGTGCAGGGAGTTGTATGCTGGAGAGCAGAGTGGGGAAAGAAATTTACTATTGACAAGGTAAATTGTCCTTTCTGGTGGGATCTAAAATCACATTCACATCTGCATTGCTCAGCTGGGAACTGAGTGAATCTTGTAAAAAAAGAAATAAATCAAGTTACTGAATCTAATTGTCTTCCAGGAATCAAGCTATGCCAAGAAGCAGCCCTTTCCCAAAAGCCAGCTCCATGCCTGCTGTGCTGCCCCAGTGCCAATACCCACAATATTATTATTTTTTTCCAGGAAGGACTGGTTTGATCCTTGATCATCTGAACCAGGGAATGGCCTTTGCTGTCAGATGATGAACCTGAGTAAAGTGGCATCGCCCCTGTGCGTTTTCATTCCACAAGGTAAAAGGCAACTAATTTCCATGCAACGGCAATGGTGCTTTCTTTTCATCATCACACCATTGCAAATTGATGCTACATCCAGGTCAGTGTTTCCTCTCAGGCGGACGCTGAGGATGCTGTCATGCTGGAAGGTTGTCATCCGCCTTTCCAAACCTTTATTTAATAGGAGCTGTGGTATCAAATTCTGGTGAAATAGTCCTTGAAAAGTAACCACCTGCTTTTTAAGCGGCTAGAGGCATACCTCTGCTGCTCCCCCTATTTAAAATAAATAGACCTATCACAGAGAAAAGCCTACGGTTCAGCCGCACACCGTGAAGTCCCACTGAGACCAAACCCAATGCTAAATTTGTCAATTCACACTAATGTTATTTTTAATTGCTTTCTCGACGGTTGTGCTCAGAGCCCGCCCGGCGCCGGGCACTGTGTGTTGGTGTTTCACAGCAGCTCCTGCCCAGAAAACCTCCTCATCCCCCCAGGCTGGAGCAAACGGAGACAAATATAACATTGACAAATATAGTGTTGTCACTGGGGCTGGAGACCGGGACCTCAGACCCCGACAACCAATGGGAGAAAGAGCTTTCATCCCAAGATACCTTTCTGCTAAAATATCAGAGCTGTGCAAACCCTCTGGGAAGTTTCCAAGGTGTAGCAGGACTCAGCAGCCAGCCAGGTGAGCAAAGTGGGTGCAACGTCCTTTTTCCCCCGATTTCCAGCTTTCAGAGGCACCGGGTGTTTCCCAGCCCTGCAGGGAAGACAGAGTGAGCAGGTCTGTAAACCCTCCAGTGAGTGAACCCTGTCCCCTTCACCACCTGTGAAAGCACTAAGTGACCTCACCTGAAGCAATCACTGGCCCTCTCTCAGCTGTCATTTGTCAGGTCATCACCCACTTAGCAATTACTCTTCTAATTCCTGCCCATGCCAGTGTAGCTAATATTTTTCCAAATAGTGTTGTATCAAAAGGTTTACTGAAATACAGAACCTGACGTCCCACTACACATTTCTTCCTTCTCGAAAAGCGCTTACCTAATCACAGAAACCCAGTAGTTAATTTGGGCTACCATTTTTAATCAGCTCCTGTTCTGTTATTATTGCTCACAACAGTCAGAGGCAGCCATAGCATCTGATGTGCCTGAATCTGTCTCTCCCTTAAACATGTATCTGAGGCATATTCTCCAGCGGCTTCTGAAATCAGATGGTGTGAATGTATATTCTGCTTTCAGCTAATAATTGAGAGACTAAACCTGCCTGCCTGCTAGAGACTCAAGGGAAGGGCTCAGAAATTGGCCAGGAGCTTCATTCTCAACTTTCATCAAAGCAGCTCCTGAACACTTTGTCATAAGGAAATTTGACTGCATATTTATACGGCCACAAAGATACCTGGTTTAAAAAAAAAACAACCGCAAAATCAATTCACCAACTGCATCAGTTATCACTCTCTGCTGTTACTCCAGCTAACCCCACTCACTTGATTTTCATCACTTTGCAGAATGAAGAGGCACTGCCTTGCCCCATCCTCATCAGAGGAAGTGCTTCTCTTCATCATTGGCCCAGTAACACTTTATCTACTTAAGGCTTCAGCTACAGCAGAATTTAAGCCCAGCCTGACCAAGTTGGCATGACTGTGGTCAGATTGCCCATCTGATATTCAAAACAAGAAAAAAAAAAATCCGTTTTTTAAAACTATGTCATCAGTCAATCAGTAACTTAGAGTAAAAAACACTCAATCTAAACATCACAAATCCAGTGAGCTCCTACTGCTGCTGAATGCAAACCCAAATCTCGCTTTGATTCGAGATGCAAACCTGAATTGTAGCTTTGATGCCCAATTGGTATTCTCTCTTTATTTGCTTTTTCCTTCAGTGTTGGTCCGACGCTCAGGCAGAGCTGCTGCAGCACCGCATATTCCTGCCATGGAATAGGGTTCATTTCGCTCTTCTCTCCCTGGGGACTAGCATACACTTTTCAAAGCTGCACATCATTTTATTAGTTCTATTCCCAGTCTCCAAAACGTCGAGCTTCTTTATATGAATGTGCTGCAATTTAGTACCATCAGCAAACTCTGCCGAAACAGGGAGAAATACAGACCCAGCAAAGATCCCTGTGGAAACCCACCCACAGCTGGCACTTTGCTCTGTATCATCCCTGCAGCACTTTAATTCACATAATCTACCCTCATTTGTAACCCACCTCATTCCCTGGGCTCGGTTAATGATCTGATTTTGTGTGTTATGTATTTAAAATGCTGTCTAACAATAAATGTTTTATTTTCTCGCTGGTAGCACCTCTGTGAAATATTTATGATCACTAGATGTCACTGTAATTTTACTCTCTCTCCAGCCCTACTGAACCAGTGTGATTCCTGGGCTCCAGCGAGCTCGCTTTAAAATCCTTTTGAAGAATTTATTAGCGATCAGAAAAACACCCAGCTGCTATCCTGATGGAGGGTTTCCCGGGGTGGGAAGGGAGAACCAGCCTCGCTCCAGGCTGTGGCACAGTTTTTATGGGCAGTTGTCAGGTTGTCGTGGTGGGAATAATGCAAAAACGTGCAACGTCAGAGCCAAGCGCTCACACGTGTGTGTGTACGTATTACCCGTGGCTGCACACACAGGTTTCTGCTCAACACATGAAAGTCCTGTTAATTTTATGCTATTAAATCTCCCCGGTGCATGCAGCAAAACATGTGTGCCCACACTCACCACCCTGGGCTGGGGCAGTTCACTGGGGCTGGCACATCTGCAAGGCCACTGTTTGACTGCAGATTTCCTGTAGCTTTAATGACCAAATGCCCTTAAAATTTTGTTGTTGTTCTTCAACCATGCCTCCACTTCTCTCCCAAACACACAGCCCAAATCCCTTCACCATCATCTGAATGGTCCCACCTCCTTCCTTTTAGTCCAATCATCCCATTCCTACTTAATTCAGTTAATTACACTCAGAAATCTCTACAGAAGCATCTTGCATGTTTCACTCACCTTAAAAGATTTTACAGAATATATTTCTTTAAGGCCAACTCAAATCCACACTCCCTATTTCCTGAATTGTTGATTTCTCCATTGGACTCAGCCTTTGGGATATGACAATTTAAATATTATAGACCACACTCCTGCATAGGCACACATGGGATATTTTTTTTTTTTTTAATTAGAAAAAATTCAGCACTGAAATTAGTGGAAACGTTTGCTTAAAAATCATTTGTCTCCATCTGATGACATTATCCTGATCAGCAGAAAATGTCTTCACTCTGTACACTGGGGAATATGCCAAAAGCAGGTCATTCAAGAGAAATCAGTTAGCGGGTGTGCAGCACAGAGGCACCTAATGCAGTGCTGGCAGCTGAGCCCGAGGAACCAAAGCTCTTTGCTGGCATCTTTTGGTGAGCAAGGAGAAAGGTCCTAGGCCCACAGCTGTCTCCATGTCCCTGCAGTGGCAAGGGATGGATGGCAGAGCCTGGCCACGGCTGAGGGACCTTCGCAGATGGGGAAACTAAGATCTGCTGTGAAGCAGTTAGATGGAGCCGCAGCTGTGTGAGGGCTGCTGGGGTCATGTGTGCTGGGTAGAAGCTAGTTGCAATGTCTGCAGCAACATAATTGCCTGTGAACTAGCCCACACTGGTTTTGTAGAGGTCTAGTCTGGCACCAGTAGGTTTTGAAAGGGTGCCTGCTGTTCCTGTAGCAAGAGATGGGCTGCCTGGGCAAGGGCTACCACCACCAATGAAAGGCACCTTCTAGCTTGCTACTTTCACCCAAATTATATGGCTGTCCACCTCTATTAATCTCAACATCTCTGCTGCTCTAATACGTTACATTCTGGTATCGACACCATCTCACTTTTGATGAGCCTTTCTATTCAGGATTCATTAAAAAGAGCCTAAATGAGCAATAATGCTTCTGGACAAGCATTTTCTTTTTCTGTGGAGCCACTAGAGGACCTTTGCTGATTCCCATCAGGTCAAACACCATTCATCTTCCATGCCAGCCACAGCCTAAAAAGTCCTACATTTCCCTTTAATTCAGTTGCTTGGTTGAAGTGACGCAGTCCTCTCTTTAGAAACTCCCACGTCAATTTAGATTAGTGGCCAGTAGAGAGAATTATCTCCTTGTTAATTGGAGACTCATTAGTCCTGGGTTAAAGCTAATGTAGAGTCATCAGTGCTTTGCCTGGGGCAG